GAAGGTGCCTCCATCCTCACATTTTCTCACGTTCTCCCTCCGACCCATTTGTCAAAATTTCCACATGGAGAACATACAGGTACATGCTGACTCTTGTGGAGAACATACAGGTACATGCTGACTCTTGCAGATTCCCTTTTTAACAGCAGATAGTTTAATGGAGGGAGAAGGGGTCTGCATGTTCAACAGGTCTGCCTCACTTAAACAAACACAAGCAACCTGCACTGCGAGTTTTAACAGCCCAATGTGTCAGGACTTTGCAAAAACATTAGCAGATATGGCTTTCTTGGTAAATTGGTCTTCTTTTCTCTGAAACACTCAACGTGGCCTCTGATATTCGACACTTCCCCTGTTTAGGTGAGTGTATGAGTGTGGGTGAAAGCTAACTAAATTCTCAGAACATATTACCCAATGGATTTTCAAGGTTTTAAGAACGCCCTACAGCATATACTCACCGAGACATGGGGCTGGTGCTGGAGGACCTGCGGGTACCATAAGGACTCATGGAGCGTCTCCTTGAATAGGGGCTGCTGTCCCTCTCATAGCTGGAAGACCGGTGCCTGCTGCCATAGGGGCTGTCTGATCTCTGTCTGCTGCGGCGAGACATATCTCCATAAGGGCTGGGGCTTTGCTGAGCTACCCTCCTCCTGGAGTAGCTGTCATCTCCCTGCTGCCCATACCCACTGCCCGGTGGACTCTCACTGCCAGCCCCTCTTCTGGGACTGGGCGAAAGAGCAGAGGTGGTGCCCTTCCTGCGAGGGCTACCCCTACTTGAAGACTTGCCCTTAGGGCTCGACTTGTGGCTCTTGGAGGATTTGCGATGGCTCCTGTCTGCCCGGCTCCTCTGGGAGGAGGTCCGGCTGCCCTCCCCTCGGCCTTCTCTCCGCTGCTGCCGGTCTTTGCGAGACTTCCCTGAGCGGCTGCTCTCCTTGCTGCGAGATGAGGATGTGGAGGAAGTAGTGCTACCTACACTGGTTGCAGGCTGTACCTGGGAAGAGAGCATCAGCTCCCCGCGTTTAGAGTCACCTTCTGGCTGGACCTGGCGTTTGGATGAAGAGCCTGATGAGGCAGCCTTCTCCTTGCTCTTTCCGGAACTCCCTTTCTCACGGTCTTTGCTGCTCTTTTTCTTGTACCCACGTTCCCCATTCCCAGATTCTGTAATTTTATTAGGGTCCTTGGACTTTTTCCGGGAGTGTCTGTGCCCCCTGTTCTCTCTACTGCCACCTTCTCTTCCGATATCGTCCCTATCGTAGTCTGGTGAGGGCTCCAGTCGGTCCCCGATCCCCCGCTCAGAAGGCCTGGAGGACGGTGGGTCCGAGAAAGTGTCCGAGTCGGAGCTGATATCATCGTACTCAACCAGAGGCTTCACCGTGTTGACACCAGGAGGCGCCGTATCGCCGAGGGTAAAATCTTCGGGTCCCGGTGCCGCCAAGGATCCCCGATTATGTTTGGTTGATTTATGCCGTTTGCGTTTTGAAGAGGAAGAGGACATTGAAGATTTTAACTGCACCTTGCCGTCTTTGCTCGTCATGTCTCCCGCAGAGGTATGAGTCGGGGCCTGGGTCTGGTGTGCCACACCGCTGATGCTAGATTCCGGCTTCCTCTTGGTCCCATGGTGTCGGTCCGACCCAGGCATCCCTCACGCCGGCGTCGGTACCACTCCTGCGACTGGGCCTCGATAGTCCAGGCAATTCATTCACAAGAGAACAACAGCTACTCCAAATGCCAAAACAAATGTGTTACTAAGCAGAAACAGAGCAAGAAAATACACAAAATAAACACACCAGGCCGCTCACGTCCAGTCCTCAACGCCAGTTCATTCCATTGAGATCGCCAGCATAGTTCGTCAAAACAGAAAAATGCCACCGTTGTTTTCCAGTGCTGTAAAGTTTGTACTTTGAATTGGTCAGTGAATGAAAAGGATCCCAACCAAACATCGGAGCATTGTGGTGTCGTCTCCGTCTCAATTTAGCTAGCACCGCTAGCTAATGCTCGGCAGCTAGCGAGCTGACTCGTAAAAAAGAAAAAAGTCCCTTTGTGAAAGCTGTCCTTGTCCGGTGCCAAGTTAAGTAAAGGTGTTTTTATTCCATAGAATTACGGTCTTTGCATTCAGAAACAAGCAAGTGCCTTCATTAAAAGACGCTCGAACAAAATGAAAACTTGACCCGGTTGGTACTGTTTACATGTTCCCTTTAATGTAAGTTTTATCCCCTATAAATTCAATATTGATTAGAAATCATAATATTTTCGTGTGCAGTAGATGTTCCAGTTTATTATCAATGGCTCTGGGAATCAACCTGGCCTATATTTAGGGCGATGCTAGTGGATTTAATATCATCCACAGCCCTATCTGAAGGAGACTACAAACGCCATTGTGGCTCCTGTGACTAGCAACTTCTGCGCACGGCGGAATGAACCGGAAGCCGGAGCGCTGTCAGTCTTGGGCGTATCATAGCAACGACCTATCGTGACAAAGAGCCCGCCTACTGTATTCGTGGTGGCGCGACAGCGACGCAAAATGCTGAGAAAGATGCATCAACATGAACAAGTAAAACATTTGTTTAACATGTCAAGTAACAGCGGATGACACATTTGATTGAATTAAAACACACAGCATTGGGCTCACAGGAAATGAAAGGTGGGTTTTAGTTTTTGAGCAGCAATAAAGGAGACGATATTTGCCGCTGCAGGCAAGGCTGGATTACAAACAGGCAAAGCAGGCAACTATCTGAAGGTCCCAGAACTACAGGGCCCTCAAAAGCTCCAAGTTTACTGGGTGTCAGCTGATTTGAGCTAATTTAATTGAGAATATGTTTAGGAATATTTAACACTAAATCACAATCTCAACTGACTTAAGGGCCTTTACACCTTACAACATAAGTTTAAGCCCCCCCAATATCAGTTTGTTTAGTTTTATAACCTTCCTTATGTCATTATATGTTGTACAATTGTGTGTTTAATCAATTTACTCCACACCAAATCTGGGGCCAGGTAATATTCTTGCACATAAAGCAGAGAAAACTATATACATTGCACAGAGAGTGTGGGGTTAATATGTGCTGCGAATAGAAACCCACAGCAGGTTCATCCATCTTGATATTGCATAAATGACTGCTTATTATTTAACAAAAAAAATCTATTAGATTTGAGACACAAGCCGAGTGTTAGATCTGATAGAAACATTTGAAACAGACTTAGTATCAATATAAAAAAAAAACACAGGCATATTACATCTAAAATATATATACAGTACTGTGCAAAAGTTTTAGCTGATATTAAAGCGAGGATGTTTTCAAAAATAATACCATTCATAGGCAAGTTTTTATCAATCTATTTGTGTACTTAACTTAATACAAAGTGCAAGTAAACAGAAACAAATATCAAATCAATATTTGGTGTGACCAACCTTTACCTTTAAGACAGCTCTAATTCTTCACTTGCACACAGTTTTTCAAGGTACTTGTCGGCCAGCCAACAGTATATGTAAGTATCAAAAGCTTTGACTGATGTTCAAAACTCAGTTTTTAATCAATTTAATAAGAATATTCACAAACGCAGACAGGAGTGCTACTCTTACCCAGTTTCAAACCCAATCTCTGGACTTCTGCAGTGCACAAAGGCCCTCTGCCTCATCTGTACAACTCATGGAGTTCTTCATAAAATGAGAACAAAATCTCATGGTAATACAATGGTAACTGGAGTCAAACTTCAGTTCAGGTCATATGTAACTCAAGTTACCACATCTGTTCTCACATCTGTAGTATCACTTGGGCTCTATGCTACATTACACTGCTGGATAATGGGATACTCATTCTAATGACTCTGGGAAAAGCTAATAAATAAAAAGGGTGTTGGGTGGATTACAATAATATGTGTATGATATGTCAGGTGAACCTCATAAATAGATGAAAATAAAATCTCAATGTGTTTGTTCATTGTTACTTCTCTTGGATGTCTGACCTTCACATATGCAGGATTATGTACATTCAAAGTTTGACAAATGATGAATGAGATAGATAGATAGATAGATAGATAGATAGATAGATAGATAGATAGATAGATAGATAGATAGATAGATAGATAGATAGATAGATAGCAGCAATGCAGTTCCTCAGATTTTTTTCACAGGTGAGGCAAGAAACTTGGGGGAACACATTTAAAGTAAAACAAAAGTCTCCTCTGACACATTTTAATGTGGCATTCCAGGCGCTATGAACTGTTGTCATTCGTGTGTGTTCCGGTATGACGACACAGCATGACGAGCGGCCACTCTGGATGCTGATTGGATCTGCTGTCTAACTGTGGCGTGGCCAACGAGGAACCAGGAAGTGGCGTTTCCTACAGTAAAAACAAAGTTGCTTGAGGAGAATAAATATGATAGAATATAGTTAATACATATTAATATTAAAAATGTGCTATAAAACACAAAGCCCTCCGCCTCTACGGTTGTTTCTGTACACTAAGCTTATGATGACAAACATTATGGACGCATTGGCCCACACTTAAATGACAGAGCCTTCATGTGGAAATTACTCATTATTGGCTTATCAGACATAGCCTACATTTACGATAGGCTATTTGTTTTTTTTATGTAGACTATATAAAGTATCAAGTATATCTAGTCTCACATGTTATGACTAGTTTCTCTACCATTACTTTAACAAACTTTTTTAATAAATACAATTTTTAATCTACGAATCCTGTTACCTTTATCTAGGATCATGTTGCTACATGGGCTGTCAAAAGATTGAAACCCAACTTACATATTTACCTTTGCTGAGTTTGTACCCAGATCACATTGTGAGCTTTTTTTTTTTTTTTTAAGAACGAGCCAACAAGTAAGTAAGACAGTGTCCTTTGTGTGTTGGGGCAATAGCCTATGCCTTAGCATTATTATATTTATTATTTCTAAGTGATGTAGGCGTAGTACGAGCTCCATTTTAGGCTGCCAGATCCTATTCCTGCCGGGCTATTGTGTGGATGGATGGAAAGCTGTATAGGAGGGAGGAGGAGGTGAGGACGAACCGAGCAGATAAGAGAACTGGCTCATTGGCTGGTTGCTGTCTGTATAGCCCATATTTTATCAGAAACTAGAGGTCTTGCCGTTTGTGTTACAGGTCGAAAAACAACGACACCGCACTCCAGGAGCTACCGAGAGGACGGTAGCATGATAGACGTGGAGGGGAAACGGCAGGAAGAGGGCCCGTATCTGCATTTTACTGCGCCTACACCGAATACATTGAGTCGGTAACCAACGTCCGACATGGGGAAGGAGGTAAATGGTGTTTCGCGGAGCCGGTTTGAGGTGAGTTTGCTATGAATATTAACTGACAGTCACTGACACACATTCAGGTAGCTGTAATAAAAGTTAGGGTATGGGGCCTACGTGATGACTGTCGCTGTATTTATTGCAAAACTGCGCTTATGGTGAGGCTACTGATGCAGCTTCCGCAGTCAATGTTTGGGATTAGGTCAAACGCTGTTGTTTTGTTCTAACAACATATAGCCGAGGCCTGGCATGTCATTTTGTGGAGGACACAGCTCGGTATTTTTGACTCCTGCCGTGCTGTTCATCAGTAAATGGAGGAGTCCTTTTTAAAGGTCCCTAAAATGTTGTCCTCGTTTCCCTATGCGCCGTCAAAACAAAGACAATGAGGCTACATGGAGCACGCCGAGGGCAGCTCTGGCTCACATTAACATATTATCCGAAAAGGGAATTTGTTGACTTCACTTTGTAAAGAGGCTGTTTTCATAACTGTCCTCATACCTGCCGGGGTGTGATTTTTATGCCACTTTTGCTGGGTTGTCTGGCAAGCCGGAGTGTTGTGCTTATCCATGGCCGCTGCGGATGTGGGGGCCTCGGGTTGTGAAAGCTACATGCACCCCGTGTTAGCACCGAACTATCAACAAACAGGCCCAGGCTGCTACAATGTAAAACACAGCGCAACCCACACTTTTAGTAGAAGTACCACCTGTACACACACACACACCCTCCCTATCTCTCTCTCTCTCTCTCTCTCTGACACACACACACACACACACACACACACACAGACAAGTTACGGTGTTGTTGTTCTGAAGATTTTACCATTAACTTTGTGTCGCAGCCACGCAAGCGTAACAGAGTTTTTTGGTCAGAACTCGTACATAAATGCTTTGTATGCGGCCGGTGACATTGGACATTGTAGCCTTCGTACTTGGTGTTGTTTAATCCCTAGCTAGCGTGGGATTTGCGTGTGGTTTTATTTATTTTTAACGGTGCAACAGCTGACGACTCAGAAGATTCAGGCCGTTTACCTTCTGGCCCGACAGCTGCGGTAGAGCTGCCTTGTCAATGTAACCGGATTTAGGAGAGGAGAATACCGGAAGTGGCGCGACGTTGTCTTCAAATTAAAAGTGAATGAGTATCAGTAATCCTTTCAAGTTGCCTAGTATGGGTTTATGTGAAAGGGGGTTTCACTATGTATATTTTTTACATTTTATACACATTTACAAAGCTACAATCCTCTTCACAACACAATGTTTTAAAAGACATAAATACACTATGTAAAAAATTTCAGTTTGGAACTGAGCATAAGGCCTATAGTCAGTGAGTATAACCATTAGAATCTGACGAAGTTGTTATTTTAAGTAGCTATTTGTATGAAACATTCATGCAGTCAGTATATTTAACTTTATGATGAATGTGATTCATTTTGGTTTAGGCTGTGGTGTATTTATACTGTTAGTCTATGAGAAGCCTTCATTGTAAACTGATCTCTGAATTTTTGAAGATTTCAATCAAATGTTAACAAGTAGCATGTTTCTTACTGTGACTAATTTGATTAGCCAGAGTTTCAGTTATTTTAGTGAAAATAAATACAATCCATCTATCCATTAAACTTAGTATGATAGAAAGGATAAAAAAAAATACAACGCTGAGTTATTTCAGTTGTTAATACACTACAATCCACTTTAAAAAAATAAAAAAAGATCAGAGGTCTGATTGCAAGAAGCCTGATACCAAAGATATAGCTGTTACTGTATGCTATCACAAACACCCAGTTGTCAAGACATCATTGGTGTTGGTCTGTATGAGAGTTTTAATTTGAAAGGCATGGTCGGATGTTTTCTCTTATATTCTGTGTGGCTTCACTGCACAGCAGTAGACACTGATCGGTTGTACACCAGCCCTGAACAAAACACTACAGCAGCCTGAAAAGTAAACAGGCATTAATGCTTAAAAGTGTAATTTCTCCAATTAAAAGGAATACGTAAATAATGACAACATCGTGATTTGCCACGTTACCACTACATTGTGTATAATTGTGTGTATTGATGAAAGAAATGTTGAAGAAGTTTAAACTGTTGGCAACAAAACAGTCTGTTTATTGCAGGCAGCTTGTCTCTTGGGTATTTCCTATATCTGTTGGTCCTTAACGACATCTATGGTGTTTACCACAGTTATGAGTGTAAAACTAAATTTAATCTGAGGACGGGGTCTTTTCAGGAAACAACAAATGTTTTCTAAAAATATTATCACTTTTGGTTTCCTTTTACAATGATCTCTAGCTGGAGGTTACAGCTCAGCCAGCTTTTTACCTCCTGCCAGGCCTGCGTCACTGACTATAGCTGACCAGTGGAGAAAACATAATGCATCACATTCATGCAGCATCAGTTTCATTTTATGTTAGATTACAAAAGGGGACAGGGTATGCCCGTTGACCATGAGCATCTGGTTCTTTGGAAATGGCCCTGGATTATTTGGCCAGAGAGTAGCGCTGTGGAAGGCGAGCTGTCAGAGTCAATTTGCCCCAAATCCAAACGGGAAATGTCTGTCCCTTCTTACTCCCTCAAAATTTTACACGTCTGTGCTGGCAGGCAGCCCCTACATAGACAGCTGTGCGTGTATGTGGAGTTTGTATGTTTATCAGAGAGACATAGAGAGGCTTTGACCTGCAGCCGACTGGATTTATAGAGATCCAGTCATTAATTTCAACAGGCAGACCTGTCAGTTTGTTTTTGTGAGGCTGATGAATAGGTTTACTTAAGTGTGTAAGTCTCTCAAAATCTGGAGCTATTGTGAATGTGCTTTTCAGATAGACGCCCATAATCAAAATGGCACACAGTACACTCCGTCAGGATCTACTAATTATTTCTTTTGTTTAAACACAAATAAACCTTTAATTTATTCTTGGATCATGGGGGCTTCACATTTGTACCTGTAGGGGAAGTGCAAATAAGGAAGACTTGCAAATTCCTTGTTGATCTTGTCACAGATGTTTGCCTCTTGTAAATAACATGCCTTCCTGCACTTTTTATTTACACACCAAGGCCCCCACCCCTCAATTACCCTGTCCCTGGTTTAGATTTATCTTTGTAAATCTATGGAGGAAAATGGATTGGGCCAGATGTTGCTTCATTCGCCTTGTTGTCCCCGAGTGGATGCTCCCAAACGTCATTGTTTCAACATCTTGCATTTAACAATCTAGCAGACTATGATTTACCACATATTATGGGAACCCTGCACATGGTGTGTGTGTAAGGAAGTAGCATTTAATAAATGCTACTTTATTGTCTCTTTTGTGTACTGCAGCCTTTTCTGTGGATTCTAGGCTGGTATTTGTGCTCAGACAGCATGCAATCATTTACGTGGACATCCATTAGCTGTTAAGCAGAAACTGGAGCAATTTGTCTGAGAGCCACAAAAGATAAACTGTAACTGATTCTAGTGTACATTCTCAGCACACACTGATGTGGACACTGATGCAAACTCAACATTATGACCAACACAGGAAGGGAGGACAGAATATGCATGCAAGAAAGATAACTAGAAAGCAGAGGCCACTACAGCTCTCTAGTCGGCAGCCCAAAGTCCCATCCTGCTGTTTTCTGCTTAGAAGACACAAAATCCCATCTCCTGTGCTGCCGCTTTATCTTCTGTCACCTTCAGTGTTTTCCAAGACTTGACATTGAATCTATCTTGGCTGATGAGATTACTATCATTTATCCTTGGTTATGTGTTGGGGCCGTCCTTGAGTGAGGTGAGTGGATGGCGGGGCCCCTGCCATGTTGAAACAGGCTGCCAGCACTAATATTATCCTCTGCACCCTTTCAGATGTTCACAAACAGTGATGAGGCGGTCATCAATAAGAAGCTGCCCAAGGAGCTGTTGCTACGGTGAGTGACATTTTGAAACACCTCAATCAGACTCTCTGCAGGGCTTTTTTTTTTTTGCAAATGAAAATGGCATGTCGCTTACTTCACACTCACCTCCTCGACTTTGCTACTGATCAGCACATCAGATCATACGAAAAGGCACAATTGGCCTCCTCCCTGTCCAGCCCTCAAACACAGACGCACACACACATATGCTGTATGTTTATATGTTGTACACCCACTTGCCCTTTAGCAATTACTGCAACTAAACTAACCACTGGGATGCAAATTTCCTCTCCTTCCCCACCCCTCCCTGCTCCCTCAATGCTAATGTAATAAAAGATGAAGCTTGAGGCTATTCAACATTGAAATTGATTTCAGACAACAACAAAAAAACTCAAGAGTTCCTGAGCAAACAGAAAATGAAGGCCATAACTCAAGCCTCGGCCTTGCCAGCCAAGCTGCCTGTGTTGCGGCTGCTGACTCCGTGCCGCTTGGCCAGGTGCAGTGCTCTGATTTGTGAGGCTGGCAAGCTTCACTGGGACTCACTTCACCCCAGCTTCAACCCTAATACGGTTTTTGCTGCAATGTAGGATCCTGTTCTAAGTTTCTAGCTCTGTTCATTAGAAGCCGATTGCGTGTCTTCCTTGCCAGGACCCCACTTTGAGTAAACACGTCTATCCAGCATAGAGGGTAAACACATCTATCCTGTTGACAGTCAAAGACAATATTGGCTGATTTACTCACAACCCTGTGCTGTGAGTGGAAGCAGACGCAGGGTTGAGTCGAGGGCAGAGTCTGGTGTAAAGAGGAAGCTTCTGGCAGCGGGGATCAGGGTCTCTAAAACCGTCCCTGTCTGTCTTCCAGAATCTTCTCCTTTCTGGATGTGGTGACACTCTGTCGCTGTGCCCAGGTCTCACGGGTGAGTCTGTGTTCACAAGGTGTGTGTGGATGCAAGTGTGCGCGACTGTATGTGTTGGTCTGTGTTTTTAGTGTGCGTTCTTTGTGCGTGTCTGTGGTTCCTTTTTTGAAGGAAAAAAAACTTGACCCTAAATGTCTGTTTCTCCCTCCCTGCTCTCAGTCCTGGAATGTTCTGGCCCTGGACGGCAGCAACTGGCAACGAATTGACCTCTTCGACTTCCAGAGGGACATAGAGGTGAGCAAGTCTGATGCAACCATCCATTGACCTTACTTTTTACCTGTAACTTCAGTCTTTGCTGTGTATTTTTCCCTTCACGCTTCAGTCGAGCTGCAGAGCCAAATAAAGCAGTTTGAGTGGATTGTTTTTGTTGCAGGGTCGGGTGGTTGAGAACATCTCAAAGCGATGTGGGGGTTTTCTTAGGAAGCTAAGCCTGCGGGGGTGCCTTGGTGTGGGCGACAGCGCCCTGAGGTGAGCTTGGCGAAGACTTAACCTGACAGAAATTCTAGTTCTGGTCCAAACCCTGGGAAGAGAGAGAGACAGGCAAGTTCAGTTTGACTGTCATCACATAAATGCTTATTTGTTTTTTTTTTCTGTAGGACTTTCTCACAGAACTGCAGGAACATTGAGCTGCTTAGTCTGAACGGCTGCACCAAGATCACTGACAGGTGTGTGTATAGTTCATGTGCTAATGAATCATGATGTCATTTCTCCTTCAAAACGCTCATTGTCTTTCTCCTCCGCAGCACGTGTAATAGCCTCAGTAAGTTCTGTCCAAAGCTGAAGCACCTGGACCTTGCTTCCTGTACCTCAATCACCAACCTGTCACTTAAAGCTCTCAGGTGTGTAGGGTCAACATTGTGATCTATATTTTCCTTGACTTTACAGTATATTACGGTGCACCAGTATTGCCACACCACCAGACAAATGGGATGTAGGTGCAGAGCAAGGTTATAATAGTTTGGTTTGTGTGTTTAAAGCAGAATTGATTGTTTAGTTTTTTGTTTTTTTTTAGTTTTTTTTTATGATATGTGAGATTTTGTTACGGGCGAGATTCAAAAAGGGCAGAAAAAGTATAGTGTAATAAAACTCAACAAAACATGAAAAACCATTTTTAAAAATGTATTCACTTAGGACAACCATGCACAAAAGCAACTATAAAAGATGCGTGTTTGTCAATGTGTTTATCATTAACCAGAAAAAACCAAACTGGACACAACAACAACAACAACAACAACAGCAGCAGCAGCAGCAGCAGCAGCAGAACATAAAATGTAGATATGGGCAGAGATGTGTAAACAGTCGACACAAGATGCAGCTTTAAGTGCAAAATGTGTGTAATTCTGCATGTGAGGAGAGACGCAGCTCGAGTCACTGAGGGAAAAAAACATGAAAAACTCAAAAACAACCAATTGAACTGCCCTGCACTAGTCGTAGGTGCTGCAGCTCTGCGACACATCATTGTAGTTGATAAACAATGAAAAAACTTGACATCATCGTTTTGGACACTTGTTTGGCACATGTACTGGTCGTACACTGAGAGCCAGGCAGCTGTAAGATACTGCTCCATCTGGCACAGGTAAAAAAACTGGAAGATAGATTTCATATCCACACAAAATACCAAAGTCAACAAAGACAAAAAGACATTTTCTCTATAATTTTAGGTTATTTTAGTTAGTTTTGTAAACACACAATGCAGTTTCAGTTAGTTATGGTTTTTATTTCATTTTGGTTAATGAAAATGTTTTTTCACGTGTATTTTTCATTATTTTGTTAGTGTTAGTTAATGATAATAACCTTGCTGCAGAGAGCATTTGATGTCTTTCACACTGTTGATACATGCACAAATGATGTGCTTTAACTTCCCACCTGACCCTTTCTTCTTTCCCCTCCTGCAGTGAGGGCTGTCCCCTGCTGGAGCAGCTCAACATCTCCTGGTGTGATCAGGTCACCAAGGATGGCATCCAGGCCCTGGTGCGCTCCTGCCCTGGACTCAAGGGCCTTTTCCTCAAGGGCTGCACACAGGTACGGTTAGAGATGCAAACCAGAGCTGATGATGTTTCAGTCAGTATGAAACTTAATTGGATGAATTTAAAAGCAACCTGATTGATACAACATTATTCTAACTGCTCAACAGTTGAACTTTTACACAATAGGTTGACTGACTGTTTTCTCGTATGTTTCGCCATAGCAGCCACCACTTATAAGTCTAACTTTTGAGTTCCTCTTATTTTCCAAATAGAGCGTAGTTGCTGCCACAACAGTCATAAAATGCATCACTTCCTGTGCAGCAGAGGATGTTTCTGAGGAAAGACGTGGCAGGTGCTGTTTACAACAAATGTAAAAGCCTTCATGCAGCGCCATCCTGTCAGTTCAACAGAACAGTGTGAGGAGACAGCCATGTATTTTTCTGAAGATATCACAGATCATTAATTTAAAGGACAAAACTAATCACAACATACAGCAGACGCTCGGCTGCCAGAGGTTTTTTACTCATCTTCTAATGGCTGTAGTTTGCGGTGAATTGCATCACAACAACACTTTCGAGGAAGTGACAATAGAGGAGTTTGGTGGGATGATCTTGGTATACAAGTGTAGTTTCATTTAAGATATTGCTGCACAATTAATCAAAATATAATCGAAATTGCAATATGGCCAAGTGCAATGTCCAAATCGCAGGATCTGCAATTTTTTGCTAAAGGTAAAATATGTCACAACAGACCAGATGCCCCCGGCCTACCAATCATATTCTGCAGACGTAAAGGAACATGCTTGTTTGGTACAAGCCCAAAATCACATTATCATCTTTTTTTTTTTATTTTCAGTAAAAATAAAAATGTGAAAGTGACACTTCCAACTGAAATTGTGACTCATATCACAAGATCTGCCAAAACAATTGCAATATGATTTTTTTTTTTTTTTTTTTTTTTTTTTTTGGATATTGTTCAGCTCTAATTTCAGATGCCTGTTGTCTTTCCTCACAGTTAGAAGATGAGGCTCTGAAGCACATCGGGGCTAACTGTCCAGAGCTGGTCACACTCAACTTACAGACATGTTCAGTAAGTACAGTTAACATGGTGAGAAGATGAATCGCATTAATCAGGAAAGATGCAATTGTTTCACTGTATCCACATTTTATTATGTTGAAATGCACCTCTGTAAAAAACTTTATTAAACCTCTAAAGATAAACAGAACTCAGCTTAGTAGTTTCCAGGGAATGGGCTGATCGCCAAGTACACACTGTGCTCTTCAGCTCAAAGCTCATTGTGAGAAGCTGATGGCCCCATCCAGCTCATACTGCCAAAGATCCACTGACACTGAGCCTGCTCAGACAGTCCATATATTTTTCTCTGACTGCACCTGTCCTTAACATTCCCCTTCTTTCTTCACCAACACCTGAAAGCTCTCCTCTTCTTCCTTCATCTCTTTTCTCATCTCACCTCGGGAACTCATCGTCTCTTCGTGTTCCCAGTTGATCCTCCTTTCTCTTGCCTAGCCCATTTTCAACCTCTTCTTCCTTTGTCCCATCTCCTCCTGGTTTTCTTGAGCAATACTTCAAACAACAATGCAGGGAGACAGAAATCGCTCCCGCTAGCTGAGTGTTAACGTGTCGCATGAATATATGTAAATCCATACGTTGATTGCTCTTGATGCATAGCTACCGGTGAGCATAGGAAAAGTTGGTATGTCTCTCACATCCTCCGCTATGTACAAACGCACACGCTGTCTTTCTGTGAGCAGCAGATCACAGATGAGGGCCTCATCACAATTTGCAGAGGTTGTCACCGCCTGCAGTCTCTGTGTGTGTCAGGCTGTGCCAACATCACAGACGCCATCCTTCATGCCCTGGGACAGAACTGCCCCCGCCTCAGGTAAACTGTGACACACACACACACACTCCTCACTCTGAACTTAACTATGGAGAACTTTCTAGACCCTGCAAATAATTAACCAAGCCATTTAGTTTGAATATCAGCCTTATTATCTAACTGTGGAAGTCAAGTCACTCACTCTCTCTCTCCACCATGGATGTGAAATTATTTCACTTGAGTGTAAACTGATGTTATAACTGGCTTTTCAGATTTTCCTTAAATACATGAAACTTAAATTTAATAGTCAACAAGTGTTATTCATAAAAAGCCTTTAATATTCATTTAAAGCTGAATCCTGCAGTCATGTCATGAATGAATGGGCCTCTCTGCAGTGAAGATATCACAAGCCTTACTCCTGTAGATCTAGTTACTTTCAAGCCCGATCTGCCCTCTCTGTGCAGGAACTCAGAGAGTGACAGACTGTAAGTGATGCAGCCATTGAGCAACTCTCTGCTCCTCTTGTTCTCCTTTCAGAATATTAGAAGTGGCTCGCTGCTCTCAGCTTACGGATGTGGGTTTCACTACATTAGCAAGGGTGAGTGTCGTGTCTGTCTCAAACACACACACACACACACACACACACACACACACACACACACACACACACACACACACACACACACACACACGTGTGATGATGTTAATTTTTGCTCCCAACACAAAATATTTCAAATATTATTTGTCCCAAAAAGCACAAATATACACCAATAAGCAGAAGATCGTGCAGTTTATCTCTGTTCAATGTCTCTGTTTCTCTCCTGCAGAATTGTCATGAGCTTGAGAAAATGGATTTAGAAGAATGTGTGCAGGTAAATAAACAATCTGAGCTACATAAATAGTGTTTCAATGGTTGTTGTATGTCATCTGCAATTTCCACAATTGTTGCCTTTCACCTTTGCATCAGATCACAGATGGAACGCTCATCCAGCTGTCTATCCACTGCCCTCGTTTGCAAGTCCTGGTGAGTGTGCGCCTGCCACTTAAGCATATTTCACTGGAGTGTTTATGAGCACCAAATCACAGCTTGTTTTAGGAGACAGTTGAGTAAATAGAGCTCCTGTGATGGTATCACCGTGTTCCTGTAGAGTCTGTCACACTGTGAGCTGATCACTGACGATGGCATCAGACACCTCGGCAGCGGCCCCTGCGCTCACGACCGTCTGGAGGTGATCGAGCTGGACAACTGCCCCCTGATCACAGACGCCTCACTGGAGCACCTGAAGAGCTGCCATAGTCTGGATCGCATTGAGCTCTATGACTGCCAGCAGATCACCCGCGCTGGTATCAAGAGACTAAGGGTGAGTTGTGTGGGCTGACAGCAGTGAGTAAGCTATTAGCGTTTTTCCATCGCATGATACAGACTTGACTCAACTCCACTTGCTTTTGATACCAGGTACTTCTTTATCTACTGCAGATAGTGCCCCCTCACAAAGCTATCGTGACTTTATGTTCAACACAACACACACATGAACAATGGAAGAAAATCAAAGACATACCAAACAGAAAAAACATGTATGACAATATGGTTTTCCATGTTGTCACACTGAAAGTCTAGAACAATAAATAACAGAAATGTAACGGCCTACAGTCAGCGGTTTACAGTCTTTTAAAAATGGAGGGTTTGTTCAGAAGGCCCCATTTCGCACAATGATGATGTAGTGGTGATGATTCTCTCTGACCAGTCAATAGTGTGTCGTGTTTTCACGTCACCTTTTGATATCGCCTCAGCTCACTTGGAACCTCGGCGAAGGTGATACCATAAAAAGCACCAGGTACCAGGTTCTATCCATTTACAAGATGCAGAACAAAGAGAGTCAAGTCATGTTGAGCCAGTACCATGCAGTGGAAAAGGGCTGTATGATACTTATCCAGAATGTGCTGTCATTTTGTGAACTCAACATATGCCATTTTAAATTTATTTGGTGAAGAGTTGTATTCAGTGTCACAGATCTACACATTTTAATTGGTTTAGTGTTGAATGATGGTTTGGAGTTAGACAGCCATTCAATCAGCAAAGCAGTGTTACTTCTTTATGTAGAGTTGACCTTTACAGCAAAAATGGTTTCTCACTAATCATAGATGATTAGTAAATGTTTACTGAAATCACACCTGGAGAACAGATGCTGCACTAACACAAACACTGTCTCTGATGAGGCCTGTTACACCACTTATCACAGTTGAGGAGTTGTTGTCTGAGTGAATCCATCCATTCCATACGTTGGGTTTTTAAGCTCTTGAATGGCACAATGATGAAAGTAGATGCTCACTGAAGGGAATTTGAACTTGAGGGAATAGTTAGACATTCTGGGAGCTAGGCCTCTTGCCATTACCACTCTCATGTTCATGTTTTAGCTTAGTTTAGCATAAAGACTGGATACTGTTTGCCTGGCTCTGTGCAGGGGTAACAAAAGCAAGCTACCAGCACCTCGGAAGCTCACTAATTAACACGTCAGAACTTTGTCGTTTAATCCATACAAAAACCAAAGTGCAAAAACAACACGTTGTGGTTTCACAGGGAGTTATGTGCTGGACTATTTGTTGGCCAGGTGCAGTCACTTCTCTTCATTAGGGCGGTGTGGACCTTGGAGTTGGGTTTTGTTTTGCTATGGACAGAACCAGGTTATCTGTTTCCCTCATTTTCCAGTCTTTGTGCTAAGCTAACAGAGGCTTCATGTTTACTGTACAGACTTGAGAGCGGTATCGATCGCCTCCTATTTCCCTAAATATTGAACTATTCCTTTAAGGAGGAATACATTTAAAGTGTCAGTTTTTACTGACACATGGATGTTAACATTTTCCAGTAACTAAAGTATTGTAGCAAACTGTAGCCACTGCTGATGTATCAAGCTACCTAGTGCAGTGTTTGTATGAGCTATTAACACATTTACATGTGTGTTTCTTTCTTTTTCACCACAGACCCATCTGCCTAACATCAAAGTGCATGCATACTTCGCTCCCGTCACTCCGCCCCCCTCCGTCGGGGGCAGCCGTCAGAGGTTTTGCCGCTGCTGCGTCCTGCTATGATGTAAAGACAACAACCCCCTTCCCTGTCCTCGTGTCCCTCGTACACGCTCCCCGCAGCCCGTCACTTGACCCCTGACCTGCTGTCCCCCCTCCCGGCCCCCTGTCACAGAGTACACGCTGGTGTGTCCCCTTTTTTTTTTTGGAGCTGCAGAGAGAGGGAGAGAGCCAACGCTTACAGGGTCTTGGGTAACTTTTCCAAAAAAACATTTCCAACTCTCCCCACCACACACGCACACACACACACACACACACACAGCCTTTTACACAAGCTGATATGCAGATTCACTTACACACGAATGTCAGAACATTTCTGGGCTGTGTTCAGTGGACAAACCAGTATTATAAAGAAGGTTATGTAAAAATCAAACGTGAATAACCACCGTTAAAGGATTTACAAAAGAAGTGCAAAAGAATTGTTAAAAATGACACGACAAGATCTTCACATCAGAAACCATTGTCCTTTATGTACGAGACAAATTACAGGGACAGCTGGATATTAAATAGTCCTGAAAGATCCCACTTCACCTCTCACACACTCTTCCCTCTGTGCTGAAGATCACTTAAACGCTACCTCTAGACAGGAACTGCACTTGAGTTAAGACCTGTGTTAGTTTTGTTCTGCAGGCTGTTCATTTCAAACAGGAGCAGCAAGTAAACTGTAAACTGGCTACATCCCCAACACACACACACACACACACACACACACACACACACACACACACACACACACACACACACACACAAAGCAGCAGGAAGCCTGTTTTGTGATTTAAAAAAAAAAAAAAAAAAAGAAAAAAAGCATACTTGCAGCTATTTGCACTTACAGTAAAAGCAATGATGAGACACTTTAAAATGACGACCATCTCGAAATTTAAGACTGGCATTTTACTAACAACACACACCAATACAAGTCTTCACTTGAATGCATACACTGAGCTTGCTTCACCTGTACCCTCACCTCTCTCTGACTCTCTGTTACAATCAGAAGCTTCAATATACTGAAGAGGAAAAAAAGAACACAAAGTTTAATATTTTTATAAAAATGGACAGCTATTAAGACTCACACGTGGGGACTCGAGAAGATGCCAAATGTTGCATGTAACACCTCTAGTTTTTTAAAATCTAACTGTACATATATGAGGACTGTGGGAGTCCGAGTGTGGAAGCCCGCTGAACGGCAGATGACGATATGAGACGGGGCAGAGGTTGCCGTCGATGGGTCTTTCTGAGGGAACCGCGGCGAAGCTCACACGTGCTCGTTGAAGCACAGATATGTGTGAGGACGTGCGCTGGAGCTTTTGGAGAGTAAAAAGGAGCCAGTAGTCAAATCTGGAGTTTTGACGGATGAACTGATGCTGGCCTGTGAAAAGTTATAAAGACACTCTTTTGACAGACGGAAAAAAAAAGAAAAAAAAAAAGACATCACTACATGAACTCATGCTTTCAGACCAGGACAATGGAAAGAAAAAGCCAACTGAAAACAATCAAAGTCTATTTTCATTTAGTTTGATTTCATTTAGTTGCTCTTGTTTTCGCATCGGCGATGGTTCCTGGCCACGAGGAACTGGTGAACCACAACGCAGCGGCGAGAGGATGTGCCCGACGTCGGAGCCCGGCGTCGGCAACTCCTCAACTCCCATGAGGCCTTGCAGGGGACAGAGTGACAGCGTGTTACACCCTGCCACCTGTGACGTCCCCTGTCCGCCTGTGACCGGTGGAGGCACTGCAAGAGGAAGTCGACTGAAGCTTGAGCGCACAATTCTGGCCTGCTGACAGATATGATGGAATGATTTTGGTCAGAGCAGAGGGCTATAATGGACTTCAGCCCCCGGTCTATGAAGTACTGAAGCCTTTTCTTATGGAATATCTTCTCCTGCACTTGCACCTGCTTTATTCTGTGTCTCTTTTCTTCCCAATTCATTTTATAAATGTGTCTTTTACTGCGTTTCTTTCTGATTTCCTCTGGATCTCTACCTGTTCTCTTTTCTTTGCATCTCTGTTTTGGTGTGGTTTGGATTGCGCCTGCTTTGTGTTTTGAAGTCACGAGTTCAGTGTCTCAAAGTTGAGTTTCGAGCCCTCTTCCAGTCCTCAGTTTGGACCTGAGGGAGTTTGTGTTTTTATTCAGAGTTTATTGTTACTAAATTTCCAGAGTATAGCCTTTGTCCAGGAGGGAGTGTTGGCACCAGTGCAATTGTAATCAATGTTAAATGTGAGTTGGACATTTTAAATGTGAGTGGAGGAGGAGTTCACGATGACATGTCTGTATGATGTAGGTTGAACTTTTTTGAATGTTTCCATCAAGGAGAAGTCCTCAGGATGGCTTTAGCAGAAACAGGTTTTTCTCCCATAAGTGTGCTTTCCTCTCCTTTTAAATTTTTTATGGCTTGCTTTTCCCGAACCCCCCCCCCCCTTAATGCACCCTGCCCAAAAAACATCAAGCAAGACAGACATTGGTTAACCCAGTCTCGAATGTTGATCACTCTCAAACGTCCCCGTTCTGCTTTAAGATTCATGCCAACAGGGCAAAAACACTGAATGATGATTCTGTTCAGTTTGTGATTTGACGGCTAACGACAGGCAGAATAACACAAGCTGAGATGAATCTAGTGTAATCCAGTCTGATCTGTTTTGTTTGAATGGGGGTTTATGGAAGGATTAGGGAACAACCAAGAGTAGTGGCGGAGGTATCTAGTGTACTCTTGTCACTGTGCTTTGGGGTTAAGATCATTAACTGGAGGGAAAAAGGAAAAAGTCACAGGATTTAGACTTTGAGCCTGGATGAAACACCTGCCTGCCCTGTTCATGCACCGTAAGTGGCGCAGGCTGAGTCATCAGTGCAGCAGACAACATATGCTTTCAAGGCAAACACTTTGAATGGATTACAGGTAATAATACACAACCTGCTCCTGATGGTTTTATTTGTGCAAAAAAACAAACAAGAAAAACAAACCTGTCATCAGCCTTTTCATGGTACAAAAAAAAAAAACACTACAGGATCTATAAAGCAAAACAGATTTATTTTTCCTCACATTATCAAACACCTCTGTGTCCTTCTGTCACACCTTCCACCAGTTTACATAAAGGAGGCGCAGCAGCGCTATGGACCAGTCTGTTTCATGCATGTTTGGTCCTAAACACTGGAGAAAGGTTGAAGATTAGGACAGAGGGCAAGAGGTGAATCTACAGTGGTGATTGACACCAGGGAAATTTCAAAAACAATTTTGACAATGACTGTAGTTCATATAATTACTGTAAATCTTTTCCTTTTTTCTTTTCTTTCTTTCTTTTTTTTTTTTTTTTTTTTTTTTTTTCTTTTTTTTTTTTTTACAATTAACCGATATAAATGAATATGTACGTATGAATAAATATATACCTATATTATTAAGACTTGTCTAGTTTTCTCTGGTGTTGAACTTGTTCTCATTTTCAACCTTGTTGCCACAGTAGATGGCAGCAATGAGCCAGTTGCACTGACTCCTCCACCTCTGCTGCTCTGATTTCTGCTCTCTGCTGGTTGCAGGACTCATGATCAAATCAGCTGTTCGGTGAGGCTAATTGATTTGCTTTGGTTAATAGCAAAATGGGGGTAAACCACCAGTTTCCAGACTGGACTGTGCTATAGGGATATCAGAAAAACTAAAGTTTATAAGAATCATTTACTGCCACGTCTGTAATTTCATGCCAACCCTCCCGAACAATTGACGTTAACAGGGCTCAACGATGAGAGGTTTTCACCTTTGGTCCAACATTGGAAACATTTGGCTTTAAATCACCCAGATGATGCTCTTCTGCAGCCGTTTGTCTGTGGAAACAAAGAGAAAACAAAAACATCTATGCCTTTAATGAGTGAGCAGTTCTGTTTCTATTCACACAGTTTTTAGATTATTTTTTTTATGGTCATTCCTATCATTACTGCTTTTTTTATTTTTTATTACTCCTGTTTGTAAATGTAGTTATTCTTTAAAGACACCATGTGGGAAAAAATGCTGTAATGTTGAATTAGATGTTGCATTTTCTTTTTTCCTCTTTCCTTTTTTTTATTTTTTTTTTTATTAAGCGAGACCTGGTCAAGAAAGCGGCCTCAAAACACACGAGTGGACAAGCTTTGCTTTTCCTACAGTCCTACACTTTTCCTTATCGTCACCGTTTTTCAATATTAGTTTATACAGCTTCACAATTTTCTACATGTGTTTTAAAAGTAGTCAGGTGCCAATATGAATATTGAACCAGGTTTTTGTTTGCTGTGATCATTCTTCCCATTCATAAAGGCCAATACAAGATCAGTTTCTAACACACTTTCAAGGGTTGGACACCTCAAGTGAACATGTTCCAAAGCTTTTCCCTTGAATTATGCACTGAAAAGACTGACACACCTGTGAACCCATCCTTGCTGACCGCTAAAGATACTTGGCACAAAGTGTCACTTTAGTACAAACAGCCGTTACTAGAAGGGTGTCTGTGGTTGAAGATGAGACTCTTTGGACAGGCTTTTGGGGCCCATGGGACCCTGCATGCAGAGTCAAGTCTCTGTATTTGTGTGAGGTGGAAGCACAGATGAACAATCAGTATCAATTTATATCAGTGGAAAGAGCAGCAGCTCTGGTCCTGCACCATGACGACCACTGTCACGGCTGGGATCTGTCTTCCGCCGCATGGGACTCATTTCGTTCCTCTCGCCCCCCCCGTCTTCAAATCGCTGAGAGATCAATGTGTTTCCAGTCCTGTTTTAATGTTCATTTTTAGCAGCCGGGTTCTGGCACCTGGGGTATCACATGGAGGATGAAAGGTGGGTGGCTCAGAGGGAGAAATTTAAATGTGTGTGTGTGTTCCACTGCTTCAGCAACTCTCTGCTGTTCAGTGTGTTCTGGGTTTGAACAGACGGATCAGATCACAGCACCACCCCAGACAAGACATTGCATTTCTGTTTATTTTTGACAGCAAAGCCCCTTCTATACACTAAAAAAGAACTTTTTTGACTTCACGGCTTTTGTTCTGTGATGATTTTGTTTTTTTTGTTTTTTTGTTTCAGTGTTCCTTTCACTAGTCACTCTGCTATCTGCCGTGCCCTGGTTCTGAGTGAAGCAATAATTAATGTGATAACAGAGGCTCTCT